CATACATACAGACACACACACACACACACACACACACACACACACACACACACACACATAGATACATACATAAATAATATGTGCCCCAAGCACATAACAAAGATAAAAGACTTTATCTAAAATTCAGGTAATCAGTCACCAGAGGGAAACTTGTTATACTTTGCGACCATGATGAATCTGCTCAAACTGAATGGATGAGAACCAACCTGTGCTCCAAGAATAAAGAGGTAGCGCGTTGAGAGTTGCAGAAGAGCAGAGCTGAACTTCTGAGGGTTTTCTCTAAGCCTCATTTCCATCACAGCGTCCTCTCCTTCCTCCCCACTTCTGCTCCCACGCACCTCACGCACCAGGGGCCAAAAGAGCAACAATGGACAACCCACTGAAAATAACAAAAAATAAAGAAATAAATTCTCTTCATTGTGCCAAACCATGTTATCACACTTTGCTATGCAACAAGCTTCTTTTTCTGAATGACTGATTTGGTAAAAAAAAAAAAAACTACCTGCAAATAGAATATGTGAAGCAAAGGTGTTGAGGGTAACCAGTAAAGCAGGTAATACGGTGCCTGTATGTCCATCAGGAAATCCCACAAAGGCAGCGCCCCACTGAATGGAAGGAAAGGTGGGCAGGTGACCGGTGGCGTGGAAGAACTGTGTGGCAGCTAGTGACCACGCCACTATAGGAGTCCAGGGCACGGTAAAATCACCTGAAGGATGCAGAGTGAGGTGAGTGAGCAGCTTGCTTTTAACTATGAATTTGTGGGGAAAAAAGTGTATTTGTGAACATCTTACCAGAGTGAGCGCTATGCATGCCACTAAGAGTTGTGGAGGAGGCATGAATGTGTAACAGAGCTCCCATTTCTAGCAGCAGCAGAAGGAAAGACAGAGCCATGCCCTCTGGATGCAGCAGCAGCAGTCCAATTCCCAGCATGCCACAGAACAGCAGCACGGGGGCGGAGTAGACTGTTCCCAGTCCGTAGGCCTCCACAGTGGGACGGTTGTCTGCCTCGGTGCCTCCGCTGAGCTCCACGGAGTCCAGGGAGTGACGCATGCGCTGGTAGATCTGGGGGATCAGATGGCGYAGTTCGGCTTGGGGGCTGATGCCGGTGCTTGCTCGATAGCGGGGCGGGGGTACGGTCGAACTCCTGGACGAAGCTGTGGCCCTGCTCTTCACGAACACGGTGACGGGATCCAGCCAGATCAGACCCAGGCCGAGTCCCAGAAGACAGAAGGCGGCCCTCGGGAAGGCCAGCTGCGCCAYCCGGATCAGCTCGGCCAGCTTCCTGAAGCTGTCCTCTGGAGTGGCGCTGACTGCCCAGTGCAGCGCCAGGCACACAGACAACAGGGGTAGGACCCAATGAGCCGTGAACGCAGTCCCGCTCGAGGAGTTGAGATTACCGTAGTGGCACAGGCARTGCCTCAGCAGATACGTACAAATGCCAAGAGCGATGACAGAGAGAATGTAGTACAGGTTCTTCAGCTGGCTGTCCTGCAACCGTGAAAGTGGAGAAAGGAATGGAGACGGCTGGCAAAAGCCCTGCTCTTCTCGGCAGCCGTGAAAGGAGAGGGAAAGGTACATGCTGCCAATAAGGACTACAAAGCAAATAAGGACAGTGTTGTTTTCTTTCCTTAMTGCTGGCGGGGACAAGACTGGGGAAGGTACCAACCCGGCAGACTTCAGAGGGTCAAGGCTTTGGGGCAGAAGCAAATATTTCCAGTTGAGATGGATGGGGATATAGAGGATCAGAGAGAAAACTAGAAAAGTTACAACGCGGCCTTCGGCAATCACATAGCTATCAGAGAGCAAGGCCGCACACCGTAGGAGCGGCACCACGAGAGGCGGGACGAGGAGGCGACGTGGGGTCAACCACCTCCAGAGTTTTGATGCTTTAGCGCCGTTCTTCGACGCCGCGGGGGCTTTGAGCCGACGCGCTCTCCAGAAGAAGGGGATTTCGGAGCCGAGGGCGCCGGCCGCCAGGCACCACGCTGCCTCGACGTAGCCCCGCRTGAGCAGCTGAGCGGCGGCCGCACAAACTCCCGCCGTTACCGCCGCCGCAACCGGAGCCCTCAATCCTGAAGCGCTTTCCCGTATCAGCGGCAGGGAGAGTTCCGACGCTGTGAAACACATGAGGCAGGCAGACGCCAGGACGGCTAACCCTGCTGCCATCTTTAGCGGGTTGAATCGAGCCCAGGTAGCTCGGCAGGTGTCTCTGACAGAGGTGAGGTAGGCCTGCAGAGAAGAGGCCAGGTGCGGGGAGGGTGATCGACCCTCTTTAACAGAAGTGAGGTACTCAGAGGAGAGACGGGCAAATTCCTCCTTCAGCTGTGAGAGGCTYTCTGGTGGGATATCTTTGGCCATACTAGAATACGTCTCCAGGAAACGGTTAACCTTTAGAAACAGACATAAAATTGAAAACAGAGATAAGGAATACAATTATTTAACATGCTTCGGGATATGTGAAGAAAATAATCTTGTCCTGGGAAAAAAAAAGCACTAAAAATTGTGTTGCCTAACACACTACCTGTTTTGYGTTGATCCACAGCGCCTCCAGCTGGCTGAGACCTCCAACTGCACCTTCTGTCTGCCCATGCAGGGGGAACAGAGGCAGCAGCACCTGCCCCACACTGCTGTACGGGATCGGGATTCCCAACAACAGAGCCARGGTGGGCACTAGGTCCGTCTGTGGRACCACATCTGGTTCGTTCTGTGGATGTGAAGAATTAGAATAAGTGCCATGTTAGATCAATTGCTCATGTTTTTATAGCCAAAACTGCCACAGTATGTMAGTAAGAATTTCTGTTTAGAGTTAAATATAAAATTAAGATCTAATCAAGATGGCGGCGGTGGCGGCAGATGTACTGTATGTAGCTGTGCAGTATCGCTGCAGGAAAATACATCCCATTTGGCTTTACAKGCATCTGCAGGTCTGTTTTTGACCAAATTTACCTCAGCTTTAGTGTTGCTGTTACTCTGTATGCTACATATACTGTACATATACATATACAAAAACACCCCTAAATTGGCTCTATATGGAGTTATGGGACAGGAACCATGTGAAGTTAGATATATCTAAGAAATGGTGAGATCGTGGAACAGGTTCATTACTATGTCACTTTATAGAGATTAATAAAACACATTTTTATTGGGACTTGTCTAATAGATATACCTGAGCTAGATATATTGTGAAGATATTTGAGGGATTTTCAGTATATATATAGAAATAAGTTGAGATATAATATTGAACAAATTAAACTCGTATTTTGAAGTTTATAAGTGCAAACGAGCTGATGATATTTTACATAAGCCAAAATTACTAAATTGTATCCTAATAAAGGATGTTTATGGACCTGAGCTTTACGTAACRTGGAATTTAACTAAACAACAGAGGTCAGTTTGTGCACAGCTTAGACCTGGTACTTTGCTTTTAGCATTAAAAACTGGACGATTTTTCTCAGTTCCAGAGGATCGAAAATGTTCTCTATGTGATTTGAATGATTTTGAAAATGAGATGCACYTTTTGTTTTATTGTCCTTTGGATATGATTTCTAGAAATGAATTGTTTGGTGAAGTTCTTGACGTTTATCTAGATTTCTTTTACATGGCTGATGAAARATCAAGTGAAGTTTTTATTGAAGTATTTTGTGTTTCAGTTAGCTCAAACGGTTTGAAAAGCATGCTGTCTTAGAAAGAGGACACTTTATGTTTAAAGATTGTCAGTTGGTCTTTGTTTGAATTTTTGAATATGTTTGTGTGTCTTATAAGCCCATGTTGGGCACCTTTTGTGGAGTATGACATGTTGATAATAAAAATTACTTACTTACTACTTAAATGGGATGCTCAAATATGTAACAAAGTAATAATACATATTAGATCTAAAAAAAAGTTAGCAAAAGTTTCAACTAGTAAAAAAATATCTTTTTACCCTAATACTGCAGGGGAACTGAAATCTTTAAATGGTTTTGTGTGGTTAAAAAAAATWAGGAACCAAAATTTAACTGTTCAACCACAAACCTGCAAAACACTTGTTACTTTATAATGACATTGCTCAACTATAAACTAACAACTTAATATATTTTTTATACAAAGCTTTGATATAATTTCAACATTGCAAATCAATGTTTATAACKCTGAGTCTTCATAAAAACCTTTACAAATTATATTCAAAATATATTTCCCAGAACTTAAATAGGAAGAGGTGTTTTATCTGACTTTTTGCTTTACTAAATCACGCATGTCAGTTCAAAAATTGCAGTAATTCTTTAAGCATATATGTCTTTCTCTTTAGCTCCTACGCTCACCTGAGAYAGTGGTGCTTGAAAAATAGGGGAAGGACTGTAAAGGAAGAGAGCAGCGTCCGTTTCCTTTTGACTTTCTCCCCCGTGATCTCCGGTATCAGTCATCCCGTGATCTCCCATYACCACCAAGAGAGTGTCATTCTGCAGGCGATCAATCACAGACCTGTAAATATGAACCAGAACAGTCAAACTGGGGCATTTCTTAAGGGTTCTGTAAAAAAAAAGTTCATACTTTCTAAGATCTAATAATCAAATGCTCATTTTAAACAGCAAAAACCTTCTAGCCGAGAATAAAATTTAAACACCAGCTACATTCTTTGTATATGTATCATATTTACACAGTTCTTGGCAATGTAATATTTCCTTAAACTGAGGACAAACTGTGAAGGTGAAACGTATGTGGAAAACTATGTTTTTGTCTGACCTGATGACATCATCCATCTGGGTGAGCTTGTCAGCCATAGCGGGATGGTCGGGGCCAAACCTGTGACCACAGTGATCCACCCCAAGAAAATGGGCAACCAGGACGTCCCAATCATCACCCACCACTGTTAAAAACCAACAGAAACAGACACACGGGAATCAATCAAGTGCAAGCAAATAAAAGCATTACATATGTACAGAATATTTGTTTAAACAGAGGCTTCGGATGTAAATACGTACTGGTTGTGTAAAGGTGCTGCAGGATCCCATCATCCACAGTGTGCAGATCCTTTACGTTGAAAGAAGGAAAGGGCAGAGAGCGGTAGAACTTCTTAGGAAAGAGATTCTCCCAAGTGTCGTCGCCCATGAACACCACCCGTTTGCCTGTGAAGGGATACATGTTTCACAAGTTTGTTTGTTTTTTTTAGCATCATGTATGCAGAAATAGATCAAACAGATATTTGATTTGTAAGAGTAAAAACACAGCTTTTAAAGGACAGAACTGCACTCCTTTATCTTTGGACAACAGATGGATTTGCAATGGAAAAAAAACTCACCCGTTTGCCCAAACTGGTGAATCAGATTGTCCTCCAAGATGGCACTAGATGCAAAATTGTTACCCACATCCACAAAGGTCGGCAAGGACCCGGTTGTGAAGCCCTTGATTCTCTGCATCGTGGTCGTGGGTGGGTCTGCTCGGAAGGGGTACAGGCGGCTTTGGAGAGGCTTGGATGAGACGTTCTCCTCCAGCACAGGCAGCTTGTTTTCATAGGGTCGTGGCGCCGTGTTGCTGGGGTCAAAGCGGGCGAAGTCTACCTTCAGGGCGTCGATGATGAGGACGACAGCCCGACGGAATCTCGGCTGGGCGCGGCAGAAATCCACCGGCTTCTCTCCGGGGTACAACGCGTCTCCGCAGGTGCTGGTCCTGTTCACCTCCAGCCTCACCAGCAGGAAGCCACCCACGAAGAGGTAGATGCCCACAAAGTACACGGCACACAGCCAGAGGAGCAGGGACAGCACATGCAGTCCATTCATCCTAAACGAAAATGTTAAAACAGATAGGAAAAAACCCCGTTCATCATTTTAAGTCAGCAGATGTCTATTAAAGAAAACTTCAAAAGAGTGTGACTTGATGGAAGCTGTACAGCTCAAAGAAATCAACTCAAAATGTGGCGACGAAGCAGGGTGGTTGAGGTAAACAGGTAAAAGTAGCTAGCATTAATTTAATGGTAAATATGCTGTGTTCGCAGGGCTAGCTCGCCTCGCCTCTGCAACTGACCTTGTAGCGGTTGAGTTTCCGTCCTCTCTCGGCCGGAGGGCAAACGTAAATGTGTGTGTTAATAACACAAGAGTACAGGTGCCTCAGGTAAACAGAGAACGTAATGCGCGTTCACCTTCATTGGGACTGGTGCAGTGAGTTACAGGAGGTGGGAACCTTTGCGTATTGGGAACTCGGCGGAAATTCACGCCGGACCGCTTTTTTCACAACACCGTGTCTGATGTCAGTTTTTTATTCCCTCTACTAAAACTTTCAGGTAACCCGCACTCGTATTTCATTAACAAACATACATGTTAACATAATTCGGCTACAAAACGCCATATTTAATGACAGATACTTGTAATAGTTTAGTTTATTTAAGTAAGATTTAAATAATATCACAAAGCAGCTGCTCTTTCCTTTAAGGCATCGTGGCGGGCATTTAAAACTCAAACGAAATATAAGGAGTATCAGAAATGCTGAAAATGTTAATTTTAAGAACTCTGTTCATTTTTGAATCGGTTTTACATGCTAATCTATTAAATTCTAGAAATGTAAATCTTAAGATCTGACTTTGTGTATGACATTGATTAAAAGACKTTTGTGATTTGTCATCACATTACTTTCAGTTCAGTGTGTTGATRAAATGTAGTTTTCCATAAACACATTAAAGCAACAGCCACTTGTTTATTCCAAAAGGGTTATTTCACATGATCAATAATTGTAGCACCTACAAAATATATATATATTTTAAATAGAAAATCTGTTTATGAACCATGTTATGGTTGTCGTTTCGTTTGTGCATTTTTTGTCAACAAATTGAGCTACAAGAAACACAAATCATGTAACTTGCACTTAGTAATTGACCACATTGTAACCTGACCCAACTTTAAACATTAACTCCTTTTTTATATGATCACATTGTTTTACCCATTAATTTTGCTCGTAGTTGAATGTGAAAGATTTATTCTTTTTCTAAACATTTCACCAAGACAAACAAATTTATTTTTAACCTCCTTAAAATGTAAAATAACATGTTACTTAACAAGCCTTCAGCATTTATTAGGCATCCAGTCAGATGTTAAATACAGAAACTCAGAATGTGGTCCCAAAGTGTGAAAGTTATTGAGTTGTTGCTGCAGAAAATGCATATAAACATGACATGCTTCCCCTGAGCTAATTTTGAAACTGGCACTTTTACAGAACCTCAATGTGATTATTTCAGCCAACCTCAGGGGGAAAAAATGCAATAAAAAAACAGAATAGAAAGAAGAAAACACATGAAAGATAATTTTATAGTTCACTTGAATCTTTAAGTTGAATGGTAAAATGTATGCTGCCGTAAATAAATATAATGCATAGAAAAAGTTGACTGGGCCAACATTTCCGAATGCTGAGAGGATTTTATTTCCYACTCCAACAATAACCTAAAACAAACAGCAGTCAGGGAGAGTCCTCTAACAAAAGATGGGCTATCCTATGGGCAGGACATCGGACGACTTTCTTTTCCTTTTCATCTTGTCAGGAGGTCTGTGAACACAGCTCGCAAAGCGTCATGTGGACTAAAACAGCTTCTTCTGTTTTTATGTATTTAATATTCTGAAGTTAGTCAGTCCTCTGCTCTTCAGGGGTTGCCAACTCTTCCCAAGTGTCCTCCTTTTTCTCCTCCACCACTTCTGGAGATGGGTTTGCCTTGGCCAGTGTACTGTAAATGGTCATAGCCTGAGTGGCAAGGAAAAAGGAAACAAGTTCAAAACTATTAGTGTCATAATTATGGAGCTCATGAGGAGACATGGAAAAAAAAACGGATTCGGACTTAATTTTGTGGGATCCTACTAAAGTTTCTCAGAATCCTGAGAAACCTTTGCAGGATCTGGAAACCTTTGCAGGATCCTGAGAAACCTTTGCAGGATCCTGAAAACCTTCGCAGGATCCTGAAAACCTTTGCAGGATCCAGAGAAACTTTTGCAGGATGCTGAGAAATCTTTAGGATCCTGAAACCTTTGCATGATTCTCCTGAGAAACTTTTGCAGGATCTTACAAAAGTAAGTCAGGATMATTTTATTTAYCCCCACCCCCCATGTAATTTACAGCCTGCRTACACAATTTGTACTCAGTCCAGTACAAATACATAAAAATAATCATACGGAAACGTATGTATGGATACAAACCTGTGACACCATTCCACTAATATCTCCGGTATTAGAGGGCAGAAGGATTGTGTTAGACTGTTTGGCCAGGTTGGAGAAAGCTGACACATACTGTTCAGCAACACTCAGTGAAGCAGCTGCATTTCCATTCTATAAAATGTACATAAAAATGTCYAAATTAACCCAAAAGTACATTATTATCCAAACCGCAGTCTCTGTTATCCAAGAAAAAAAAAACTTACCTGCTCAGTCAGAGCATCAGACAGCATACGGATAGCCTTCGCTTTTGCCTCAGCTTTGGCTAAGACTGCTTGAGCTTCACCTGGAGAAAAACACATGAATCTCTTATCAATATTTATAGACCATGCACAAAATGTAAGTCACAAACAAGAAAATAAATGTCTATAATACACCTACCAGCTGCTTTATTGATCTGCTCCGCCTTTTCACCTTCCGAGGCCAGGATCTGAGCTTGTTTACGACCCTCGGCAACATTAATGGCTGCCTCTCTTGTCCCTTCAGACTCCAGCACAGTGGCTCTCTTTTTACGCTCAGCCTCCACCTACACACAAAAGGAACAAATGAGAAACGGGGTTTATCTGGGATTTAAAGAACTCTAGTTTGTCTAAGCTCTCATGACTGAAGAGTGACTGATATCTACACGTCTCCAAAGCCATATTCTGGTTCTCACCTGCATCTGCATGGACTCTTTGACTCGAGGTGGAACATGGATATCTTTGATTTCATAACGGAGGCAGCGGATGCCCCACTCATCTGAAGCTTGGTTGATGGAGTGGACGATGTTAGAGTTGAGGGACTCTCTTTCCTTGGAAATAAATTATTGCACAGTTAGATGTTTTCATGTAGCAAATACAAAACTTAAAAAAAAATAGTTGCAATAGTTTGTCTTTACCCGAAACACTTTATCTAATGTCAGTTTGCCCAGTTCTGAACGCATRGTGGTCTGTGCCAACTGTGTGACTGCATATTCTGGGTCTTCAACACCATAGCTGGCCTGGGGGGGAAGGAATGAAGGAGATGTTAAAAGTGCTGATTGATTACTTTGGTAAAAGGGGAGAAAAAAATAATTAAATAGACTATTACTGGTATCCCGGCATACCTTAAAAGGGTCCAAGATCCTTAAGTAAAGTACTCCATCAATCTGTAGTGTTACATTATCTGTAGACAGTGAAAGGGAAAAGACAATCCACGKTTATTAGATAAGCAAGTCTGGAAATTTGATTGTGCCACTCAGACAGGGCAGTATCTCTGTTAGTAAAATGATTAATGCCGTTCAAAGACAARCTTCCTTAATTTTCTTGAGAGGTAYGAAAAGGTCAAGAATGACTTACCGAGAGACACTGCAGACTGTTCTGGGACGTCGATCACTATTTCTTTAAGACTCTGCACATAGCGGATTCTGTCAAGAATCGGTATGAGGAAGTTCAAACCCTGGAGGCAGTWGGAGATACATATATATTTTTTAGTTTTAGGAAAAATGGTTTGTAATTTCAGTATTTCTTCAGCCAACACGATGTTCAACTTGAACAATAATAATTTAAAAAAAAAGATGTGAAAGTGGTCATTTCTTTAAAATCTACTAAAAAGTAACACTTTCGAATTGATGGGCCCTTATGTTACACGCACCATAACAAACACAAATGTTTATTTCATTTTATAAAAACGTTAAAGGCTCATACCGGCTCTAAGATGTGATGGAAGCGACCCATCCTCTCCACCACCCAGGCTTCTTGTTGGGGTACAAATAGGATCACAGTGTTCATGGGTAACGTGGAGGCCCACCTCTGCTGGACCGGTGTTACCCACAGCCTCGGTGCAGTTCGCTGGGTTTGCTACAGAAACAAACATCCAAACAAACAAAAAATGCATTTAATGAAGTCAAAACAGCAGTTGTACTCTTCAGTTTAACTGAAATAGACTTAATATTTAAAACAGATTTTCTTGAGTATTTTAAATTGGTGTTAAGCCATAGTTCTGCAGGCTTTTTGAAGGTTTGTCTTTGGAAATATGATGTATCTAATATTCTGTTTAGTCCTTTTGCTTGACCATGTTAAAGTATGCTGGTGTACGTTCTTAGAC